AACACAGCACATTCAGACATTAAGTTCAAGGGCTAATAATATTTCCTTCTAGCAGATGGCCATTACATTTACCGAAATCAGCTTCCACATTTAGCCCAGTATAATATTTTATGTATATTAAGATTGAATTGCACATGCTGTGACAGTTAAATCACCTGTAAAAAAGGGAAATTGTGCTACCAAGGTCTAGCAGCAAAGTTAACAGAATATATGACGCTCTAGTGTAATGGCCCATCAGGAGAGTGAATGGACTTTTTTCATACATGTGGCGGTGTGTGAAAAGCTGCTGTCTTGAAATCAAGAGGATTTAAAGGTAAAATATCCTTTAAGTGAGGCAGAAAGTTTGAAAGCTGCTCTTTAAATCTTCCATGCATGCAGGTGCACAGCATTAATGAGAACACCATCCTCTTTGTATTTGTGAGCTATTTCAGATCAAAAAAGCATCAAGCTCTTTTCCTGTATTAGTCACTAACTTTTCCTTACAGCTTTGGAATAGAGTGCACTCTGTGTTATTAATGTTTGACTCCCAGTAACCCCACATGACAAAGTGGGAATGTGGCCAAACCACCTGAATACTGTAGCTGACTGTTGGTCAGGTGAGCGAAACGGAGACACTGCAGCCTGTGTGCATAATCAGTAACCACATGGCACGCACACTCAAAACCGTGGCAAGTTTAACTAACAATAATAAAATGCCAAGGCTGTGAGACAAAGAGCTGAGCTGTGTTTATGACTATACCTGCATAAATAATGGATGTCTCCTCCCCTAAAATACGCAAACATGACCTGAGCACCTTTATGCATAAATACAGGACACTCAGGTTGACTGTTGCAATGTAAGCTACATGTCATCAAGTGAACAGCTTACCTGTTGGTTCAAACATTTGTTCTGACAGTATAGACTGTAACTGGTGGTAACGCTGCTTACAAATCCCAGAAAACCATTCTGAAATACATGTACCAGCTGTGCTGAGAGGCATGTTGCCGAGTAGTAGAAGGGCACAGGATGCACGAGTAGCACTTTACGACTGTGTGCTGAGGGAAATAAACTAGCTAGTGCCTAGGAAGATTCCATGGGAGGAATGTGTATAATTACCTTGCCTGAAGATAATGGCATTTCTTTATCAATGGCTGGAGTAAATTGAGTAACCTACTGCCCCCTCTTCCTCCCCGTGTTATGTGTATGTCCACATCTCCTCCAAGTACCCACTGAGTGCGGCACACTCAACAAACAGGGAAGGATAATTATATTTTGAACAGAGAACCAGAAACCCACTGGTCCTCTTGTACTGGAATACTACCTGGTTGCATTTGATTTAAAAGGCCCAAGATTAGGCTTTTATTGTGCTTTAGTAGAGCACATCCTCATACAAATGTGCAGTTAATCAAATGGGTATTCAGACAATTTGTTGCGGCACAAATTGTGATCAGGTGCATTCTGTTTGTTTTCATTTCTCTTGAGATTTTTATAGCACTTAGTTGGAGTCCACCAATGCCAGACTGATTGAATTGATATTGATATATAGTTTAGAAAGGCACATATCTGTGTATGCATGTCAGGATGGGCAATAAGGGCCTTGGTCAGGGAGGTACCATGGACCCAAAAGTCACTCTAACAGAACTTCAGAAGTCCTCTACAGAGATGGGAGAACCTGCTGGAAGGACGACCATCTCAGCAGCTCTCCATTAATCAGGTCTTTATATGGTAGAGTAGATAGATGGAAGCCACTTTAAGTAGGCTTATGACAGTCCACTTAAAATGTCTAACCAACACCAGTAACTGCCCATCACCTGGGTCTCATCTTACTACGGGAATACATGTTTCTCAGTGGCAGGGACAGGGACTTGTCATAACTAGGACGAAAAAGATCACAATAAAAGGTGCAAGAATAAATGGTCTGACTGCTTTTGTAAATGAGATTTCAGAATTTCATATTTGATCAAATTGCAAAAAAAAAAAAAAAAGTTTCCAATGAGTATAGACAGATGGAAACAATTTTACACATTTAAAACCTACAACACAATACTGTGCACAAAAAGTGAATGGATGTGAACACTTACTCCAGCCACTCCACACGTAGCCTTGTGCATATTATAGTTGTCCCCTCAATAAAACAGCCTAGTTGGTCAAAATATCACTGTCCACTGAGGTACAACTATAGACATGACATAGATCTTGGCAAAAAAACAATCTCATAAATACGCCTCCTTTGCCCTCTCAGTCCTCACCTTGAAGTCCACAGACAGCTGCGGTGTGTACTCCAACGTCCACAGCGCGCGTACCAGCGAGGCCAGCTGCTCCGTCACCTCTCCCCTGGCTGTCTGCAGCCCCTCTCCTCTCATCTCCCCGTTCACCCTCCCGTGACACACATCCGACTTGTACTGCTCCAGCCCGAGGTACTCGGCCAGCAGGTCCGTGTTGCTGAGGCACTGAACCACGGCGTTCATGAAGCAGGTGTTGCCGTGGTTCTTAAGCCCCAGCACCCCGGGGGTCTTGTCGCCATAGCACCACGACAGTCTTTCTTTCACCGAACCGTACGAAGAGCTAACAGTTGAACTCTTTTTCACGGGTCCTTCTCTGGAAATCTGCGAAGAGTCGTCTTTGAAACCTCCCGAAGCGCTCTGCCCGAAACCACCGTCGTCGTCCTCTGCGTCCGGCGGTTCAACGTCGCCAAAGGGCACCAAAGTGCCCAAAGTTTTAAGGATCCTTCCCATGAAATTCCCAAAAGATCGCAGGGATTTCCTCCTAATAAACCTCCCAGATTTGTATTTCTTCTCTTTTCGCGTGGACGACTTGGGTTTCATTGGCTGTTTCCTTGCCTTGTTTTCCTTGCGTGTATCCATGGCTCTATTACTTAATAGCGCTGAGCGAAAAAGAAGCAGGCTGTGGAGTCGCACCTGTCTGCCAGACTGTCTACCCCTCCTCCTCCTCCTCCTTTCTCCTTCTCTCCACACACCTCAGCGTTGAGGTGGCACTAGCTCGATGGCAATAAGGCACATGCTGATTTTATTCCCATGACATCCCGGTAAATACGTTGCTGTCACCAGTCCGTGCGTTTGATAGGTGACGCTCTCTCCAGGACCTACACAGCCGAGCTGCTTCGCTCCTTCTATGTGGCAGGTTCAATTACACTTCCTCATCACGGATCGTGCGCCTGGCGGTCTTTCACTCTCTCACTATCGCTATTCCTCCTTCCCTCCCTCCTCTCCTGTCTGTGGAGCCACATGAACAAGTTTCTATTTGGCGAATCGTGTCTAATTCCCCCCCCCCCACACACACACACAAATTTAAATAACCTGGATTAAATGACCAATATAGCATATTTCGATGGTTTATCACAAAATAAGGTGGACACAGTGAACAGAAAGGTCTTTTCAGACAGTAACCCGCTGTTGCTGCATTGGCAAAGAGCATAAAACCTTACGTCTTGTTTATTACACCGGGAATAAGGAAGTTGGCTTTAAAAGGTGCAAGCAAGTAGCCTCAAACTGCCCCCTGTAGGACCAATTAGAACATCACCTGCCTTATCATGTTCAGAGGGTGTCAAAGAAAACAGTGGAATTTTTTAGATATCAGTTGATAATAAGAGTATGGACTCACTGAATACAGTGTGAACAATGATCCCCAAACGTCTCCACGACCACCTAAAAGACAAGTTCTAAATGTATCTACATAAACAGTCCCAAGGAATGAATTTTAGGGTCCTGTTTACTGATAAGTACATTCCTATTTCTGCTAAACATATTGTCCAGACTTGCTATAAAACACTCACATTTACAAAAAGATGTAAATAGCCTGGCTTTTGTCTCCGCTCACATTAATGCTGCTACTGCTGCTACACCCTGGAAGCTCCTCACGGTAAAATGGATGTTAAGAAGGATTTGGCCAGACACATTATGTGCTTTTCAATGGGGATCCAGCATCTTTTGTGCTATATTCACATTCTCATCATCTGAAGCTTCATTTCACAGCTCACCAGTACTAAACATTGAATTTAGTAGGCCAGATGTGCCAAGTTGTTGAACCATCCAAAGGTTCCAGAATTTCCTTGATCCTCTTATTCCAGCGTTGTTAAGAAACAACATGACACACCATCAATAAGAAATGCATTCGTTGTCAAACTGTGGCTCTGTGTGTTTCTTCTTCTTTTCACTCATACTGTTGTTGTCCTCACTTCATAAGCTGGGTAGAAAAGGGAAAAGACCCCATTTTACTAATCCAGGGAAGTTTTTACTGACATGGTTTATACTGCAGGTTTGTTCTTTTACTTTCAAGCAGGGGTGAGTTATTAATTATTTACAATATCCATTTGGAAGAAGAGTGAGGAGAATGGGTTCAAATTAGAGAAAGTCAGAGAGGCTTTCTGTTCCAGTATCCTTCAGGGAATCACTATTGATAGATGAGCTGAAAGCAGCTGTGTGGTTAAGCGACAAAGAATCTGGGTATCCTCCTTGTTTGTCCAGTAGCACAGGGATCGTATATCGGTAAAATATGCATGTAATGTACTGCATAACATAGCCATGCTTTTACATATTATGAATTTTATCACATTGAGATAGTTTATGTATGTGAAAAATACATAAGTTCTTGTACCTTGAAGTCTCTTCAGGTTCTGTGGGGAATGAGCACATGGGAGACTACATTGCTTAAGAGCTATGATCTTTTCACTTCCATATATAATGTATCTTGCTTAAAAGAACCAACTGTATACAGTCATAGTTACTTAACCCAAGTACATACAAATACATTCTGCAGTGTTAATCTAAGAATGTTGAATCTTCCTGGGAACATTAGTTAAATCAGGGCAAAGATTAAGGGTGAATTTTGGATAAATCTGAGTGTGGTGGTGTTGGGTTAAAAGTTTCTGAAGCTCCTAATTTCAAGAGACATCACATTAGGAGGACAAAGGGTGAGGGAACCTCCACCGGACAATGGCTCCATCTGCACTGGTGCTGATTAGGGTGCAGTTGTTGGAGCAGATCTTGATGCTGGTGATACTGCCACCGTGTGCTATCCCTATGTGGGTTACTACACCTTCCATGTAATCCCACACCTTCACTAGCTTGTCATCTCCACCTGAAAAGGTTAAAAATGATATCAATAAGAGACATTTGAGCACAGCATGTATATGTGAGAGTAAAAAAGCCTCATTAAAAATAAAACAAGAATGCAAAGGTACTATATTTATAAAAAATGTAATCAGCAATAAACAAAGTCCAAGTGAAAAATGAAGGTTATCTATACAAGTGTTCATTTCAATTCCTTTTTTGGTTGAATTAAATTGACAGGAAAATCACAGTGAGCCATAGCTACAAATGCAACAACCAGCAGATGTTAAATGGACCATACCTGTCACAAAGTGTTTGCCATCCTGGGAAATGTGCATGCCATTGATGGCCCCAGACTGCGAGCCCTCCAGTTCTCTGATGGCAGATCCGTCATACACGTCCCAGTAGGCAACCTGAGAAAGATATGAACACACAAGTTTGCAGGTATTATTCCTGGTTTTCTGCATAAAATGGTCATGAAATGTGAGCTGGTCCTCACCAAAGTCACCAGCATCAAAAACCAGGAAACTGCAAACAGTGCATTACATTTTCTCATGACTAAATACTTCTTTACTCTTTTGTGCTACAAAACCAAATCTATGTTATAAAGCAAGACAACAAGGAGAAAAGAACATGCATCATAAATGACAAATATAGTAGAGTTTTCAACGCTTTTGCAGTGTGAAATATAATATCCGTTGCTACCAGTTGGTGGACAGACAGCTGGCTCATTGTACAGATAATGAAAATGACAACATCTCTGTTGTTGTGCTATTGTTTTATTACATCATCTTACACATCCTGTACCATTTTCTGTTTTGTTAATATGCAATATGGGAAAGCAAACTATTACATTAACTGCTTAATTATTCTTAATCTCTATGGAAATGAGCAGGTCTATGGTTAGATTCTGTCACACACCACTACTGAAACCACACTGGCTGATATAAATGAGATTTAATCATCCGCAGTGCTTAACAGCTTTCAATGTATCAGGTCTCAGTTATTTATAGTGCAAGCAGCCAAAACAACAGTGCCACAAACAGATTAAGGGGTCTTTCTTATTATTTATACTGCATGACCAAAACAAAGGACCAAATGAACTGGATCATTAAAACCTGCCCTCTGAGGCATCTTGTATGAATGAGACCAAGTGTTAAAAGCACTACACACCAAAAATGCAATCTATATTCTGACTGTGATGCTGCTAAAAAGACTACATACAAGAGCTTAACATTTAGCTAAAATAAATGTATGCATATGCAGCATTATTGTCATAACTGTGCGTCTCAGGATAAAGCCAACATACGTATATGAAAATAGCCTAGGAGGCAGAATTTCATTTCTCTGCACGAGACCAATGCATTATAGGAGGAGAAATGTAATCTCCCCTAGATATATCAAATAATGTTGGTTATTATGGAATGAAAAAGGGACAAATACTTAGTAAAAAAAAAAAAAGATCTTTTTCGTAGTTTCGGAACAGGAGAGTGATTCTCAAAGCAATAAGCTGCCCTTTCAAGCCACACAAATACGTTTAATTCTACCGTGTTCTTCTGCCTCTGCTTGGCCTATTCAGATGGCTCACTGATATTAATATTTCCACAAAATAACTTTGCAAATGATAATTTAGGAAAACACAGCCACTTCCAGAGGGGAAAACGGTTCATTGTGAACACCAACTAGAAAGATCTGCAGTCATTTTTAAATCTTCTTATTTAACACAAATCTGAATGCAAGGCTTACAACTGTACAGATTATGCAAATGTAGTCAGCTGAGCTGTTTTTTGTGTTTACCAACATGAAGCCACTTAAGTTTCCAACAAACAGCAAACAAAAAAGTACCTCGAGCACTAAACTACTTCTCTGTCTATGAGAAATTAAAATAATGTGCATATACAGTGTTTATACAAAGTCACAGTGCAACACTCCTTCTTGTCCCCATGTCCTCTCTCATCACTTCCTTCTTGCCACCGTCACAACCTCGCCCTCCCTCCTCTCATTTCAGCAACTTATTAGAGTCCCACCTGTGTGAACTGTCTTGGCCCATCGGTGTTCTCTCTCTACCTCAGCCTGGGAAACCGGCCCACAGCCATGACGTGGACCACCAAGAAGTTAATTACATGCAGCAAACAGGTCTGAAACGTGACACCTGCTGTTGGGACTGCTCACCTTATATCCAGGAAAGACCTGAGTTCACAACCAGAAAGCAGTCACCTCAGCTCAAGACAACGAGCAACAGTTGTAAGACTGGTAATGTACATTTAATTAGATGTTTGCTAATCAAAACATTTACTGGAAAGCTTGTCATTCCTGAAACCTTACTTCGAGGTCGAGTCAGCACCATAATGTCTTTACTCAATGCACAATCAAAGCATGCAAAATCATCATCATCATCATCCCCCACAAATTCTATCTCATTATTACAACCTCTCCTTGACCCTCCCCTCCCCTTGTCCGTTGTTTCTCTCACTTCTACTAGTCTCTGAATGTCCTCACAGAGATGAAGGGTGGAGAGTATGGACAGGGGAGAGAGAGAGAGAGAGAGAGAGAGCATTGCTATTTGTTCTCCCAGACAGAGCGCCTGTGTCCTGGCATGAGCAGATGGTGGATCTGGCTGGCACTTGGGTGGCACGGGCACATCTGCAGGAAGGCACGACTACAGCAGCACTGCCCTCCATGTCTCTCGTCTCTCCCTGTCCATGAATCCCTCCTTCTCACTCTCTCTCCACTAACTCAGCACATCCACAGCGCCATGTTAATCAGCACAACTTGTCCTCACCTCTCAGCATGCAGGGGAGACAACAATGTGGGTCTAGTGTGTGGTCGGGTTCAAGTGGTGTGGATGAAGTGCATAATCAAGCAAACAAGGGTTTCATTCTGCCAATATGAACTTCTGACCTTATGTAAATAAGTGGTGCTAAGTTAATCATAATTACTCACAAAACATCAGACTTATGAGGCTGAGTGTTTTTGCCACAGTGACTAGCAGCCAACACAATGGCTCAATTACGTTGAGCTGAGAAACAAATTACTAGCTTTTCAAACTAATCTATGGACATGTAAGTGTGTCTGATTGTGCAAGTCTTCACTGTGCTCCTGGTGCTGATCTTACCAGAGCGGCAGGCTTGTCACTCATGCTCAGAGTAGAGATTATAATAATAATAATGGCATAATCAGCCATCTAGATTATGACTGCTGAGTGCCAGTCTCTGTGCACCCTGAGGGATTTTCAGTCATTACAATCACAATATTTTTTTTTCCTGCGGGGCATAACTGCTGAGTAATGAGTCTCAGATAACTCTTTGCTAACCAACTCTTACATTCCAGTGCATTAAAGCAACCAAAAAAAACCCAATACATGGGCAAAACACAAATGAGCCTCTGGTGTATAACCTTTTCTCTATATGCAAGATGGTCTGTGCAGATTCCCATCTGGGATTGGTTCCTCTGTTTCCTGCACCTGTCCCGTGGCCCACCTCTCTCCCTTACTGATTGAACCAGCATCCCAATCCAAGTGCAGCAATTAATCTCACCTCTTAGCTCTCATTCAGGGCAGCTGTGATTTAATGTGAGCAGTTCGCTGCTGCGTTTCTTTGCTTGTGCATGTTCTTTTGTCTATAGTGTCTCTCGTTTATGTAGCCATTTTTAGTGCCTACTTGTTGTATAGTGCGTTGTATTCTGTTTACCATATTCACTTTTTGTGTTTAGTTGTTCTATGAACATCATACTTAGTCATTTGTTTTACGAGATGTTTGTTGTGTATGTGCCGTATTGTGAGTACTTGTAATATTGTTGGATCCTGTTGTTTGTTAAATTTGTTTCGGCCCCTTTGTTTTTGTAGTTTTTGTAGCCCGTCTTAGTTGTTTCAGCTATTTTTGGAAAAGTACCCAATCCTTTTATAAATATCTTTACTTAACCTTTTAAGTCTGGTTACTTATGTTACTCCCCTTGAGCTGGGTCATAAGGCGTTGTCTTTCTCCTCCTGGACTGTTTAGCTGTGTAGCCTGTAAGTGAAAGTGGTGGAACAGGTAGCCTAATTTTTCAGCCATCTCTACCTTTAGGCTGTGCAGTGATGTTGTGAATTTCCGAATTCCAGTGCAACCCCACTACTATGCTCAGCAGAGCAAGAGTGCTCCTTGGGCTGGCTGTCTGAAATCAGCAGGCCCAACCCAGATCCTTTTCTCTTTTATAACCCAGCAAGGGCAGTTTGCAACCAACTAGGGTTTGTGGAGCATACAGACAGGAAGGCCAGGAAACGGAATGTGAGGAAAATTTATGCTGGATATGACAAAATATGTAATGGATTAGAATCGCTGACTATACCTTTAAGTTGCTGTAAATAAATGCAGTATTCTACTGCACTGGGTATGAAAGTATCCCAAAACGCACCTTTCTGTTGGTGCCACTGGTAATGATCTGATATTCCTCTGGGTGGTAGCACACCGTCCGGAACAGGGTGTTGGCAATCACCATTTGAAGACTCACAAACCGCCTACAGGAGGAAATGCAGAAGAACCAGAATTAACGATAAAAAAAGGAGTGGAGCGTGAGCTTCACATGTGTAGCAATAGCATTAAAAAATATGTCTCATTCTCACTACATGAAGTGCTATTTACTGTGTTTTCCAGACAAACTACATAAAGTTTCAAATCTGCAGAGATTCAACTTTTAAAAAAAAATGTGAAGTGCACTCATACGCAAATAAAACAAACACACAGACCCACTAACAGTATTGTCCATCTGGCCAGAACAATCAAAAATCATTTAGGTCCTTGTCTGTTTGTTTCAGATTTTTTTCAACATCAGCTTGTTAGTGATCATAAAAAAAAGAAATTGCATGCTAGTCTTGATAAATACAGACTTCATTAAAGAGGGCAGACATGAAAAAATAGCTTTAAAGGATTCATTCTCCTAACAGAAGAGGCCCACAGATTGAAGGGTTTTAAGCTTTCTTTAAAAAGAATGCACTGGATAAATTTTTTCAGTGGACAGCTTCAGTGGTTCTCTTTCATTACACCTCAGACCTTAAGGCTCTCTACTTCCCACAGTCACTTTCCTTCCTTCCATATTTTTCTACTGGAGCGGCACAATGGTGCGCTGATTAGCGCTGTTGCCTTACAGCAAGAAAATTCTGGGTTCAAGCCCAGACCGACCCGGTGCCTTTCTGTGCAGAGTTTGCATTTTCTCCCTGTGCCTGCATGGGTTCTCTCCGGATACTTCGGCTTCCTCCCACACTCCAAAGACATGCAGTTTAGGTTGACTAGCAACTCTAAATTGCCCCTAGGAGTGAATGTGAGTGTGTGTGGTTGTTTGTCTACATGTCAGCTCTGTGATAGATGACCTGTCCAGGGTGCACCCCACTGTCAGCTGGGATAGGCTGCAACCCTATGCAGGAATAAGTGGTATAGATAATGGATGGATGAATTTTTCTACTGGATAGTGTAAGACTAGTCAATGTTCTAAGTAGAGCTGCCCCCTAACAGTCAAATAGTCAAGTCATTAGTCACAAAGCCTATCAGTCAACTGAGACTCTTCTAGTCAAACCATTGTTTTAATTTTATTATATCTTATATTTTTGTCAGCCATTGTGCATTACAATACAGAGTAGCCCCACCCCCTGGTAGTTTGTCATCTTCTTCCTCTCATTTTGGTGTGCCAAACAGCAATTTGCTCAATACTTCCCCCTGTGGTCAGGGAGAATTCCCACTTCAACAGTAACAGTGGATGTACATTAAGGTGGAATCTATTTAGCAAATAGAGCTTTTACTTTGGTTACTTCCTGCCTTGTGTCACCTCACCTGCCCCAGCTTTACCTCAGTACACCGTTCATTGTTTTCACCTGCTGCCCATTATCTCCTGGTCTACAGCTGTTATATAGCTCCTCCTTTCCCTCAGTCTCTTGCTGGTCTGTTGACAGTGCTGACACTACTCACTCCGTTACCATGCTTGCTTCTGTCTGTTCCCCTCTGCAACCTGGCTAGCTCCTGTAACCACTACCCTCAGCTTACCTGTTTTTCCTCGATGCTGAGTAAGAGCTCTCCTGTTCTGTGACTGTACTCACCCGTGTTCCTCGTTCCTGCCTGGTTCACTCCTGACATCGCCAGTATGCTGTAAGAATCTCCTTCAGCTCTGTGTCTGCCACTCACCCGTGTTGCTCGTTCCTGCCTGGTTTGCTCCTGAATTGCCAGCGACACTGTCGACTCTCTTGCCTGTCTCCTTAACCTGACACTGGCATATCTCCTGTCCTGCATTACCAGCTGTGTGCTCCTGATGTGTCAGCAATGCTGTTGACTCTCCTGACCTGTCAGCTCCTGTATCCCACGCAATGCTGGGGTGTCACCTGTCCTGCATTACCTCCTGTGTGCTCCTGGCCCAGCAGGTTCACCCAGTTCACTCCTGCCTATCTGGCTCCCCTGGGTGTTCCCAGCATCACAGTTACTCTTTCGTTCTCTGTACCTTTGTTAATTATTAAAAACTTTCTAAGTTTCTCCCCAGTCCTGGTTTGCATTTTGGGTCCGTCTCAAGCCGTAATCATAACACCAATAACATGGCTCTCAATTCACCTGCTCTCAGCCAAACAAACCCAGTCGAGTTTCAGAGAAATCTAATTTCTGAGTCACCCGCTTTGAGGCTGTGGGCTGAATTTTAAGTGCTAATCAATTACAATTTTGAGCTAGTAGCTCTAGCTTTCCAGGGGTCTATGGTATTTCATACAACCATTAAAACTGAATGTGGAGAGTATTATGTTCACAAATTATACAATAATAAAGGTTAAAAGAGGACTAATGAGTAAAATATGTGTGCAAAGGAGTTAAAACACGTATGGTGCAGTGGTATGCAGGTACTCACACTATGTCCCAGATGATGCAGGCACCATCAGAGCTGGCAGTGACACACTCTTTGTCATCACTCTTGATTTTGATACAGTTGACAGTGGCTTTGTGCTCCTTCATGGTCTCCAGCAGCCGATGGCCGCTTGGCTGCAGCTCCCAAACACGCACCTGCAATAGGTAACCCAAACTCAGTCAATCTCACAGGATATCCTTTTTTTATATCAGATATATGATGCTTCATTAAATACCCTTTTGTCTTTGTGTCAGTGATTTGTAAGGCACAACCATAGATACAAAGATAAATACTGAAAAAAGATTCTCTACTATACAATATGCCTTTTGTTTTTTAAATCTGTCAAGCTGCACTCTTACTGGATACCACACTGCTCAAACTCTTTAAAGTGTGTGATAAAGCATGTACAGGATCATCTTGCATCTGTATGCCTTAACTGTAACGGGTTAAACATTTCAGTGTTTGTGTGTTCACCTGATGAGAATGCTGAACATTATACCATTTTTAAACAGTTCTAAGATCGAGGTGTACAATACCACCGCCTACTGACCTGTCCCTCTCCACCTCCACTGATGATCCTCTTGCAGTCCCTGGTGCCAGCGATGGCTGTCACACCCACTCTGTGAGCGTTATCGATGGTGAGAAGGAGCTGGCCACTTTCCGGTGCAAACACACGAATCTTGTCATCATTCCATGCTGGAGCACAGTGAAATCAAACCCGCTATCATGAATATTATTTTCATTCAATATGTTAAATTTTTGTGGAAGTGGGTAACTTAAGAAAAAGTGTGGCAGGTTTATGCAGCACAGTATCATCAAGAAACAAATATAATGTTGAACTACAGCTCAAACTAAAAAGCAATACTTGAATGTTACTCCATTGTCTTATTTGCCGCTAACTTTGGTTCCCACCACTGATGATGCTATGTCCATCAACCATGAAGTCCAGGGAATTGCAGGTCATGTTGGGTACAGTGATGCGCAGTAGTTCTTTGGGCTTGTCAATGTGCCACACCCTGATGTCCTCCCCAGAGCAGGTTGCAAATAATTCTGATGTTCCACTAGCAGAAAACAATAAAAGGAGATTTGTAGAATTACAGTTAAGTGAATGTAGGTAAAATGAGTGGTAACTGAGTTAAAGCCAACTAAGAATTTATATAATAATAGACATATTACAAGAAACTAGATTCAATACATTACCCAGGGCTATGTATAAATACCTCAAACAAATCCTTTTTCTAAATTTCTAATGGAGCGACATGGATAACGCATTCATTTACTACCCTCTAGTGAACACAATGGAGTACTGACGTTATGCATTATGAGAAATAAATAGAGCTTAACTTGTTTGCTCATGTCATTTTCCATCAGAAGAAACACACAGCCCCCACAATATCATAGTTTGCTTTGTTGTACTATAGATGAACCAGGGAATTTAGTATTTTCTTGCATCTGTCATGCCGGCGGTAGAAGAGGAAATTGTGAAGGAAGCATTTAAAGTGCTAGAAAGCAATTACAGCATTATAACATGCTGACTGTATTAATTACTTGCTGATGTAACACTTGTCACTAATAGTTGTTAATGAAATATAGAACCTGCTTTTTCTGCCTAAATGTAAATCTAGACTTACGGCAGACTAACACACAAAGTGAAGGCAAAGAAAGAATACTTTTTGGTCAGTTCCACATCAGCCTCATTTCATGCTTGGGAAAACACTAGGAAGTCACTGGAATTTTTGTTACACAAATGTGACAACATATGCACCACCCTAGAGTTTTATGATCTCAACTGAATATTCATTTTTAATATGTAGTCATAAACATGGCTGAGTTTAAACAGTGTAACATAAATACTTCTGTCTTGTCAAGCTCCTGGTTTTTCACTTGTCTTAATTTCAATATACAGTATTTATAATTTATATTTCTTGCCCAGTCTAAAAGCTGACAAAAGGTCATTTGTCATTTTACTCTCTGGTTGGTCTCAGAAAAAAAACATTAAAAAACAACTCAACAGACAGTAAATGCTTAGTCATTAGTGAACTGTCTGTCACTTACAAAGAGATGGCTACATCATTGACAGCACTGCTGTGACTAGAAGAAATGAGTTCAGCTTTGAAGTCCTGATAACTGAAGCGGTACATCTGGGCAGCCTCTGTCCCGACAAAGAACTGCTGACCCTCTCCTCTTATATCAATGGACGTCACCCCCTTCTCCAGCTGGACTTTCCTATTGTTGGGGTAGAGGGAAAAGGATTAAATAATGAGTGTTCAGCACAGTAAAACTGTTTGCGTTACAATGACACACTGGATATTTCTTCTAATGTACATGATATAGCCACCCCCCCCCCAAAAAAATCTGTGAACATTGCATGCACAAAATGTTACAAAATTAAATATTTTCCAAATGATACAGATGTAGGACTCACTTAAGAGTTTTGAAGTTAGTTGTGGAACACACAGTGAAGGTACCAGATCCAGAGCCTACAAGCAGATTCCCATTCTTCAGCATCTTTAAAACACTGACACCCTGCACAGGAAAGGCATGAGCACTGAGTTTTATGATATGGTCCTAAAAAGTGATTATGTACAGTACACAGCAATGTATCACTTTGCAAATTCCTAGCTTTCTGATGGGGCTGAACCAGCTATCTAGAAACACCTGGTAAGTCAAATGTTACAGAGCTACCTGAACTAGTTCCAGGAAGTATAAATGAAAAGCTCCTACTGTATGCTTTATAAATAACAGACTCCAGGCAGTAGTTGTAAACGAACATACACACAAAAGTGGATTGATTTCAGGAATGACAAGAAAGTATATGAACCATAAGATATAAAATAAATGACAGTCACAAAACCAATGAAATACAGTACATGACATCATGTGTCATGAAATGATCTTCATTAGGAATGTAATGATTCCTGCTTTTTTTTTTGGTTTAACTGGACCATAGTCACTCAGGAGTCCCGTCTTCAGGTTGATTTTCATTATGTCTCCACTGGTGGTGCCACAGAAAATGAACTGATCATTCTCTGAAATCTGTGGAATACATAAGCAAGTCAAAATGAGCAACATTATCTAACAACATATTTGGTGTACTGTACATTTTAAGACAACACAAAATGAAAAAAAAAACGGTGTGTAACAGCACATGGTATGATGTGTCTTCCAAAATGCATCAACTGCATCTGCATCACCAGGGTAGAAGAGTACAGCTTCTGTCAATCTCAGTTGCTAGGCAATGGCCCCGTGATTTATAACCTTCCAGTCAAATAATTTGACTCTAAGCTCCACCTAGTTTCCACACTTCACTTCAAAGCCTGTTTTTATGATGTCTAATTACAGACTTAAGAATTTCACACATAGGTGTGACTTTTCAACTTGGATGGATTTTATTATAATTTTACTAAAATCAGAATTTTTCAACACTATGTGCTTCTGTAGGATATATTTTACCTCCTACTTCCTGCATCATGACCAGAGAACGTGGGAAAAAATTGTTAGTGCATGTCTGAATGTTCATTTTTCAGGGACCCGCTGTTTTACTTGACCAGGTCTAATGTGGTGTGAATGGAGCAGCTGGAAAAATACAGGCAGCTGACCAGTGAAGCACCCTGAATTTTTCAAAACATAATATTTGTAAAAAGTGGCTCATAGCCTGTAAAGATGGATGCCCCATGCTCTATACAGTTAACTGTAACTGATAGGTACACAGTATATTCATCCCTGTCTTCACCCATAAGGTTTAGCTCAACGCACAGGATAGCATTTATTTAGTCCCTCTTTAAATTGTTTCAGTCATGGAGTGTTTTGAATGATTTCTGTCTCAATAAATTGTATTACCTGTTAAAAGGGCAAGGAGAACCTACCTCTAAAGTTTATATTAGATGGAAGTGAAGTGCAGAAAAGTAAGCAGGGCTTAATGTCAAATGATATGTCAGGGAGGTCATAAACCATGGGAGTGTCACCTAGCAAGCAAGTTTGACAGAAGCCGTATTCTTATACTCTATCCAATCATTTACTGACTTTTAGTAATTGTCATTTTGCAAATTTCAGATGGACCTCAAAATGCCAAACTAGTTAAATAAGCTGGGTAAATACAGTCATGGCCTTGTACCTCTATACAGTTCACAATCCTCTTCAGTTTCCCGGTCTGACACTCTGTGGGTCGGACCTTCCTGTTGGGGAGGTCTAGCTCCCACATTCGCAATGTTCCACTGCCAAAAAAAAGACAAATGATAATAAAATATTTAATAAAAAGAATGGCACATTAACTAGAAGGAACATGATAGAGACACATTTTGCTAATTTTAAGGCAGTGAATTAGGATTTAATTAATTGATAAATCCTCTAAATAATGTTACATCTGTGCCTATCACTTGTACAATGCTGATGCTTGGTTTATAGAATGTCAGTAGTCAACATTCACTCACTTCCCAGCAGAAACAAAGATATTGTCATTTGTGTTTGAGTACTGCACAGTGAGGCAGTGTCCGGCACTGTGAGGTGAAGCTGGGCTGCCGCAGATGGCCTCCTTGGTCTCAATATTCCATACTACTATGCTGAAAACACAGAGAAAACATGTTGCATAATCAAAAGGTACAAACTATATTCAGCTGGATGAATGTACATACTGTATGTTTCTCTCTAATCTCTAGACTGCACCAACCAAACCTGATGTTTACCTGCCATCATCCTGACCCCCAAGGGACACCAGGTACTTGTTGTTGGGAGAGAAGGCCAGTGCCTCTACCTTAGCCTTGTGGAGCAATAGCTGGGCATAGATTGTTCGCTCTGCATAGTCCCAGATAATTATCACAGCCTTGGAAAAGGTGCACATTTATTCAAAATGTTACAAGTGAGACATAAATGAGCCACTGTTTTGCCATCTCTTGCTTTAAACTGATTCAAGCAAACAACACACAGAAAAAAAACTACTTCCTTATGTACCACACAGCATCAAAATAGGACAAATTAAAGAGTTTCATGAATTAACCTGATCCATCGCAGAAACTCTGCAACATGGGAAATTTTACTTTCTATAGTGCAGCTAGGGTTACCTTAAAACCCATGAAGTTGACCTGTCCAGAGGCAATATATAATCCATTTTTGGACACTGAAATGCAGGATACATTGTTTGTGTGTCCATGCAGGAACTCCGGCTTCCCATCTTCGATTCTCTTCAGAACGACTGTGCATCCCAGAGGATAGATGAGGTGCTCTTTGTCTGGGTGAACTCTCAGGCCAGAAATCACGTGTCCTGATTAATCAAAGTGTAGTTAGTAATTTTAATAATGCACATACCTAGCTGGAACATTTTAAACATTCATAAGCCTGCTATAAACCTGTATCGCACTATAGACAATCAATGAAAAAAGCCATATTTTTGGTGTACAAATAAGCGTGCTAGGTCTATAGGCCCATTCGCAATGTTCCACTGCCACACACCAAGGTTATGGTTGTCAGCTAGCAGTATTTTCATAAAATAAGTTGAACCATGAATGTTCAGGAAAACCTACCGTTGAATCCAATGACAGCTTCTAGTTCAAGCTGAGGAACAGCATGCGTTTCAAGAGCCATGGCTGAAAACAAAATCCAATCTCTTTCTCCTGAAACGTGTTACGATATGACCACTTTTGCATGAAAAACAAACGCTACCGTTAGTTTCTCAAACAGGCCTCACAGCACCAAACAAATGTTACCTAGCAACAGCTAGGTACCTACCGGCGACTGTCATTGGTTGGTGGAACGTCCCTGATGCCTTCAAGTATTGTCGGAAATTTCATATCTTAAAAAAGGTTGCACATAAACTTTAAAATAGATACTGTATGTCACTGATAAATAAAAAAATATATTAAATAGCAAATTATGTGACGTTAGGGAACAAACATAAAGGGAAAATAGATATTTAAAATGTTTAAAAGCAATAACAACCACTGCCTAAGAAAACATTTTACTGTGAGACTGACAGTCTGAGATTTACTCTAAGACCTGACATTACACTAGAAGCCTGAAAAGTAAAACTATAAACTTTAATGAGAATTTTTATTTTCCAGGTGAGAAACATGGCAGAGAAGACAATAAAAGACAACCTGTACAAGTCTATTTAATAAAGCTCTAACTGCAATTGCTATGAAGAAAGTTTATTGGTGGTTGTATTTTCAACAAAACACACTTTTAAAGCTCAAGGTTCAGCTCATATCTTTAGCAACAAAAGTGAAAACACATTTGAACACATTACTTACATTACAAATATATATTTGAGAGTGTAGGGGGATAATTGTGCTCGCTGTTACAAGCAATTAAATTTTGCACTAAGGATCTGCTGTTTATTGACAGTAAGCTACCATGCATGTACAGTAGATAGTATCACAAAGAATATCTATGAATTACAAAACAACACATTATATATGCTATACATCTTGATATAAAATCTAACTGAGATATAAAACAAAGTTTTTATTTTAATTTCACCAAATTCATAACAGAGAAAATGTGCAGCTGCACTCTACTGTTCAAACCACCCGTTCAGCAGTCTTGCACTTCTGGGCACACTGTAATCAGTGATCTTACAGGAGAGGGGTAATATATACTGCCCGGCCAAATTAAAAGTCACACCTGTAGAATTGTGGGAAATGTTTCAGTTTTTAGTGAACTTGTCATAAATGAATAAATTAAATTATTATTATTAAGGTCACAGTTAAAGGTTGTATTGTACTGGACTAAAATATAGAAACACCTCTAAGTATAATGTAGTCCAGTACAATGCTGCCTTTAACTATGACCTCAATAACAAACATATAATTTAATTTATACATTTATGACAATTTCACCACAAACTGAGACATTTTGAACTTTATAAACACAAATGTTAAGGAAGCGAAGTTAGTGTTGCATAGATTGTACAAGTGGACCTTTTAATTTGGCCAGGCAGTGCACCAGCAGAGCTTTAACCATTCTGTGAGGGTTTAATAACAAATAATTTGATATACCAATAAAAAAAAAAGTCCATTTTTGGCATTTCACTGTTGATGATGGGCAGATACTGGTTTCTGTTTTGAACAGTACTGTGTGCACTGCTGATGCACGGAGCACACATCATGGATTCTGAGATCAGGGTTGGTGAAGTTTGTCCGACTTTCCAAGTGGAAATATGACTTCAGAAATTCCAAATTCCCAGTTCAAATGGAATGCACCATTATGCAAAGCATAACATATTCTAGGAACATTCATTTAAACAGCCAACGCAATTCAGTTAACAGTAATTCCAGAAATATGCACCTTCTGGCTTTGATCAATGAAAATACCAGGTGATAAAAGGCTCATCTGGAGCCCTGTACTAAAAATTTATAACTGAAATTCGTGGACATATACCAACGCAGGCAGCGAGGTGTTTCAAACTTAGTTCTCAATACACTTAAAATGTCTGGCTAAAACAAAACTGATTTGGGATAAAATGCCCTTTATATCCAGATTCCCCTTCTCTTTTCAAGTACTGGGATTCTCAGAGGGTCCTTCAAAATGTAATATGTCTTTAGACAAGTCCATAGACATCTGTCTGTGAATGTGTGATCTCCGGTGTCTACTAAGGGAATGGCTCCAAGAAAATCCGCGACCACAAGTGAAGCACAGATAGGGTCTTTCTCCTGTATGTCTCCGCTGATGTTTTGTCAGTGATTTGTATCGTGTGAAGGTTGCCCCACATTCACTGCAAATATACTTCTCGGACTTGATGTGAACATTTTGTTCATGTTCTTTCATGTTGCCCAGTTGTGAAAACCCTTTGCCACACACAGGGCAAAGATGTGGTTTCTCACCTGAGTGGGTCAAGCCATGAATATTCATATCCTGGCGAGAATAAAATCCTTTTCCGCAGATAATGCATTTATATGGTCTTTCCCCTGTGTGGCTCCTCATGTGTCTTTTAAGCCCTTCTGAGCGGGAGAAGCAGCTCTCACACACTGTGCATCTGAAGGGTTTCTCTCCTGTGTGGGAGCGGAAGTGCCGACGAAGCTCTGAGGCCTTAAAGAAACACAGTCCACAGTCTGCACAGCAATGTGGTTTTTCTGGCTGCTCTTCGTGTGTCTTTTCATGTGCTTTGCAGTGACCTGACTCAGAGAATCCTTTCCCACAGACCGAGCAGGTGAAAGGCTTCTCCCCTGTGTGCATTCGCTTGTGACGGACAAGCTTGTTGAGTTTACTGAATGTCTTCGTGCAGTATGAACACTGATGAGGCACCTTTGGTTTCTTTGCATGTGTGCGCTTATGCCTCTCTAACTTTGAAGGCCTGTTGAATACTTTTCCACAGTCAGGACAAGGGTGCTTGTTAGTCCTGCTGTGGCAGCTCTGGTGTCGGATGAGCTTCTCTTGTTGTGTGAAAGTCTTATCACAGTCCTGACACTGATGAATAATCTTAGGCTTCCTGAAGTGTACAGGTTTATGCCTCTCTAGCTTTGATGGTCTGTCAAATGCCTTGCCACAAATGAAGCAAGGGTAACATTTGTTTGATACGTTGCTCCCTCGCTGTTTGGAGTTCGTGGGCTCACTGGAGGTTGAAACATCATTGGACTCTGATTCTAAGTTTACCTTCACAACCACTTCTCCAGGACCTGAGGAACAATCACATCAAAGAATATCTTAGGAATACTCTGTCGAACAAATTAACTGAATTGACTGATGAGTGTTGACAAACAAACAAACAAAAAAAGTTTTGGCACTTACTTTCCTCTGACGGTTCCATTTTAGTGACAGATGCCGTGTCCGGGCCCATGACTACAGCCTATTTACACATAACACAAAACCATACAAATTTAGAAAAAATTATATCAGCAAATATGTACAACATAACAAGACTGATACTAGATTTTTGAGGTCTATACTGACTGTAATATTTGTCAGTTTAAAAAATGTGATAATATATTTTTAACAAGCACATAGCATAAACAAACAATATTGATATGGATTAGATTTGTAGTGCAGGTTTTTTTTTCCATTTGTCAATTTATTCTAGGGGATATGAAACAAACTTGTTACAGTTGAAAAAAAAAATCAACTCATCAGTGATGGGCAAACTATGTATGTTTCGAAATTATCTTATTTATGTACTACATTGTCTTGTAACATATTGGCTGACATATACAGTACACCGATACCAACATTGGTGCAATAAACTTAACCTATTTATTACAACTTCCTATTCTGACATCCTATTGCATCTATTTAGCAGGCATGCAAAAGAACTAGCGTCATAATGTCCAGTGATGCGATGAATGAAGCCGATTTCAACAAGGATCTGTTAAACTACAGCATGTGTAGTTAGACTGGGTTCAGTTATATGGGTAGTGATTTTTTTAATAATTCACAAAGTTCTTTCTATTAGAATTATTTATCCCATATATTTCTTCCCCTTTCATACTGCTAGCTGACAACCATAACCTTGGTGTGTGTGATAACGAGGAAACCATAGAAGACCATATAAAGCACAACAATCCAAAGGCTCCATCATTTTGTAAGCCAACCTTGTCTGGGAGTTTGCTGTTCACATTGTTTGCTTTGTTAGAGTGACGTTAATGATTTTAGTAAGAAATTACCCAAACATTAAACTAGGTATGAGGAGATCTACCGGGTGGCCTCTTTAACAGATACCCCTCTTCTCTGATGCAGGGTTAAGCAGTCGCACGGGCCCATTTGTGGGTGTTTTACAGCAGCAACACGATCCACTAAACAGCGATTCAACTTAGCTATTATTAACACTGGCATCTGAAAAATCAAACTACATATCAGCCTATTTGGGTAGAAGAAAGCATAACAATGCTAAACTTTAAATGAATAATATTTCAAAAGACGATAACTTTACTTGGGCTAGACCTGTCGAAAATAACTGCTGATGCAGAAAAGACCATTATTATTTGTGGTTATATTGAAAGATATTTCCCAGTTACGCTTAACCAGTGAAATTCAGAGAGACGAGGCGGTCCAAGTGGATACAAAAAACCGTGCTGGTTTATTCAAAGGATCACAGGTAAAGTTAACATTACACGCTCAGGTATCCTTCACCTCCAGTACTGCGCGCAGGCAGATGAAGAATGAAAGACCCCGAACCCAACAGGCCTGTGCATTATATCTGGTTTGGGCTAACCCCATTCTACACAGGCACTTCAAACCGTGGCGTCACCTGATATGCCAGCTTTACAGCTGACCGTAGCAGTAGTCAAAACATGGAGAAAATCAATGTGTGTGAGTGTTGATTAAGTGGTGTGTATCTAAGAACATACAGGACATTCAGGGACATGTCCGGACATTAAGCCTCGGAAGATATTATGATTAAGATTACGGCTAAACATATCATACAGTAGCCACTTTCTATCTAGTTATCCTGGAACATAAACAACCTGGAGTAACTCCTGGAAATGAGTAAGCATTTAACAGCCTGAGCTAGACATCCTGTCTACACTAAAGACATTTCTAATACAACAAGTACCTAACCAATATCTATCTGACTAAAAAATACCTAACAATATGATGTATGTAGCATCTGCACACATTGCGTTGAAGTGTTTTAATTGAGTTTAGTATGACTGCGTCACATAACGGAGGAACCCGTTATGTGTTAAACGATGACTTTAGCAATTCGATCGCTAAAATGGCCTTAAAACTGAGAGTAATGGGTGTATATCTGGGACACGCATGAACACAAAAAAGGTAGGTCACGTTAGCTAAGCTAAAGCTAACCTTGTCGCGTTAGCTAACTACGCTGCATAAGATTAAGATCGGGGCATAAAATATTGAGTCCCACCTCTCTAATTATCCGTACAAGCGATGGTTGTCACACCGTTTTCTCGCAACGTTTGAAATATAAGATACTTCACATTTATAGATGGCTAATCGCAGCAGCTAGCTAAACAAGCTTTTGTCGTCTCGAGTTAATGGTCGCGATACATTGAAGTGCCTCACGTAAGTTCCGGACTTCAACTCTTTAGGCTTAAAAGTGCAATTTATCGTTGCTTTATATTATTATCCATGCGGCACATAAAATAGCCGCCTTGTGCTATGATATGAAAATGATGAGAATAATTTACGCATTGTGTAACGAATATTTATTGTATTTAAAAGAAAAAAGTGTCTACCAAATAAAATTTACCTTAACTTTAGATAGTGTAACTGTTCAAATGACAGGTTTCATTTGAGAAGTGGGTTTATGTTTGTTGTTAATGGTGAGTTATTATTACTATTGATGAATTGGTTGAAATGTCGTGAATGGGATGTTAAGTGTTAGCACAGATGAGAAGATCTGAGAAATGTATTACTTTTGTTGTTAAAGAGGTTTATTTTGAAGGGCTGTGTGTCAGCCATGTGACTGGAGTTGAGTGAGGGGCGCCAATGTGGCATTATGGGACAGAGAAGAGACATACAGGCCCAAAGTTATTTTCTGCACATGGTTTTTGAGGCGCAAACGTTGTCAAGGTGTCTGAGGAAACACAGAGAAAAATAAAACTTTCTGAAGACATCTATACGAAGCGTGGCGATCCTTAATACTAGAACTAAACTAGTGCAGCTACAGATAGAGTAAACACTTTGAAATCATACACTGACAAAGAAATAATTACCTCTCATATTAAAATAAACACACTCCCTTCATCCTTGTCCTGGTTTAGTGGTAAATGTAAAAATCATTTTTTGGGATAAATCTTGTCAGGGTGATTGTTCACTGTTGTATTACAGTAGTCATTCCTGTGATAGCATGGCAGTGCAAAATTTTCTTCTTACTTTTTTCACCATTGAGAACAGTGGAGTCATATGTTCCTCGCAGTGTGCCGTAGTGACGTCACACCCAAACAAGAAACTGTTTGCTGGTGGTTACTGTTGGATGTCAGATAAGTGGATTTTCTCTTCGTAGCCAGTTTTTATCACAATGTCTCAGGATCCCTGGTAAGTAAGGCGTTCGAATGTTACAATAAAATTGGTTCGACCGTATCATTAAATACTACAAATGACTTTACAAACCCTTATTACACTCTCTCTGTAGCCTGCTAGCTTCAGTGGTGGCTAGCTCGTTCCTAGAAAAATTTGCGTTCGCCAAATGCAGTGATTTGCAGCTTCAGTGAGCCATAACTAAATATTTTCTCTATTATTTAAAAAATTTAGTAAGGCGGTTACGGACCAAGGCGAGGAAAAGCTCGGTTTTGGAGCATTATTATATCAATTACTCAGATTAAAACTGTGTGACGTTATCAGAGTAGAAAGAGGAAAAACGAATTTGTGCAATACTAAGAATGTCAAATAATAAATGTTTTGTGCTGTCTGCTGTTTCACCTCATTAAACTAAACTATAGTGACACAAACATCTCACAATACATCAGCGTTGCAAGAATGCTAATATGGTGTAGCTCAAGCTATTGAGGCTGTCAGAGATGGTCCTTCAGTTTTTCAGACACAACGGTATATTTGCCTATCAACATTAAATTCCATCAAAAACGAACAACACGATAATTTAACCCTTTTCTCAACATAAATATTGAACACTGAACTACAGCATGAGCTAACAAACGAAGCTAGTTAGTTCTTACTATAGAATATTTGTATAGCTGGCACCGTTTCAGGAAACACAACATGCCAGTTGTCTTCACGCTGTACAAATCCACTGGCCAGTGAGCCAGTCTTAAGTTGTGTTTTGTTCATTACCACATTAACCACAAAACCTACCACATAGTTTATCCGTGGTTGCTATTTGTCATGACTCAGTAATGATGGCTTAGTTTTCCTGACAGCTCTATCCCATCCATTGATCTCTAGGTTACAGAATTATGATGCCACTTGTCGCCTGGCACAGGAAGTAGCAGAAAACATTCATGAAAGGAACAGGCAGCAGAGAACGGGGGGAAACCCTGCAAAGGTGAGGTGTTCCATTCACAAGTAAAGTGGCATAGCCAACAAATATTTCCTGAAATAGGCTTTTCTAGTAGTCAGTTGTTGTGAATATCTCCTGACTTTTCAGATCAACATGACTCTACGGGCATCACTCCAGAAGCTGAAACAGAACATTGCCCAGCTCAAAGAGGGTTTGCTGAGAGCTTCATCATCTCGGCGCTTGTATCCTTCTTGCTTGCAGTAGCAGTTATGCTCCTTTAGAGGGCATTAGAGTAATTTTGAAAAGGGCTGGCCTGACGACCAAAGTGTCTCCTATTAGGAAGGTTTTTGTGTTCATTGGTTATTTCCAAACTGACCCAACAAAAAATGTCAGCAACATCATCTATCATTATCTCTAAAGGTGATTAAAGTAGTATAGGCCATTTGCATAACCTTAACATGGCATTATCAGAATGCAGTCAGAAGCTGATAGGAGGCAGAACCTCGTTGATGACCTGCTAACTAGAGAGAAGCAGCTCAATGCCACATTCAGGGGAGACCAAATGGAGCCAGAACCTGGCAGAACCAGGCAAGTTATTTTCTCCTAAATGATAGGAAAATATATATATATTTTTTTTTTTTAAAGCCTCTAGCTACATTTTGACAATTGGATCCAAATTTCACTGTATTTATGGTAAATGGACTGTATTTTATATAGCGCTTTCTCACAGTGTGTTGCACTGGCCAAAGCACTTTACAGAAGATCATACACCATTCATTCACACACAACATTCACACACCGATGACGACAGGCTGCCATGCACTGGCGCTAGTCATGCCACCGAGAGCAATTCGGGGTTCAGTGACTTGCTCAGGGACACTTAGTCGAACCACCAACTTGCTGCTCAGGAGACGACTGCCCTACCTCATGAGCCACAGCCACCCCTATGATCAATTTAGTACTGTGCTTAAATTCATACTAGTAGTTCACTTTTACCCCATGTAGCTGGCAGGGACTTCAGTGGCTTTTCTATTGAAACCACTGGTGAATTCTCATCAACGCAGAATGTGAACATCAATGTAGAATTATTTCTTAAACTATAAAGGATTGTTGCACCTGATTCGTTCTTCATTTTTTCTCTGGAATATTTCTCCCTCCTGAATTTCTGTCCATCTCTGTCACTCGGTTTTAGAAAGGCCAAACCAAGAATTGCCCCATAATGCTCAGGGGCCATCCAGCTCAGAACATGCCACCTTTCATTTTGTGATATTCCTCTGTGAGGTCTTTTTTTCTACAATATTTAGTGCTGGTTGCCCAATTAAAAATAATGAATCTTCATTCACTTGTCGGTGTTCTTGAACAGAGAGGTCATAGGCTGTGTTCTCTGCTTTGATGATGTGTCACTGGTCACTGACTTTCTGTTAAAGGCTTTGCACATCTGGTATGACCCATGTGCCGTGACCTCTCTCTGCGCTATCACTCGGAAGGAAGTCTGTCTGTCTGACATTTTGACAGGGTGCTTAACGTCATAGCTAATTCTTTTCCATTAAGAGATTTGCTCGCTTTGCACTGTTGATCACACAACTCTTGAAACGGACACACACACTCTCATTCATACAATTGGGTGTGTGCATCTTGATGAACGGGTGGAAGGAGTGGGTTTACAGTTTATAAGTCTTGACTGTGGAGGTATTCAAAGAGCTGAATGCCATAGCTTAGGTCCTCTCAGTCATCTGAAGTCATGTTAGTGTGACAGCTTTGAAAACGTTTGGCAGCACATAGTCATTACTTTGGCTGACATTTGATCTAGTGCAGGCCAGGTGATATTTGTTTGGACAGAAAGAGGAAATGTCATGTTGTTAACTTCCTCCAACTTCTCATGTCTCTTTTATAAAGGATCGGGGGGGGTTGTGTTTGTACACACACACACACACACACACACAAATATGTTCTTTTTTGTTCATGTTATTTTTGCATTAGAGGCTCCACATTTTTAGAAAATCTCCTGTTCTGTACAGTATGTCAGTCAGCTTTATTACCAGTATGTCAGTCAGCTTTATTACCATAGATATTTTTTAGAGTAATAGACACTGCATCACAGTTTCATCAGGTCAGTACAATTTGTTGTACAAGCGGTCCAACAGTACAGCACAACCTTTATTGATACCTTGATATGAGACTATTTCTCTATTTTTCACAAGCTTTGGTTTTGTGATTGATCTGCTTAGCACTGCTTTACACAGGCTTTCATCTCTTTACAGCCAACACATCCAGTTACATAAGAGGCTATGTGACTATATCTTAAATTAAATTTGCTTGGCAAACTCTAATTATGAGGTCATAGGGTTTTTAGTTTGCGCATTGAGACCTAAATTTAATAGTGATGTGTGGTGGGTAATTATGATTTGTAGGTAGGATCAATCCCCACTGTGTGGTCTCTGAGGACAGAATGTAGGAGGGGGTTGATTGGCCATGCTTGGATAATCTAAGATGTTCTTTTCTTTTTTTGTGAGAACTTTGGGTAGAAGAAAAGAGAAGGAGGTTGCAGCAGCAACTTTAGACTGGCACAGAACATTCTAAGCACCTCTATTTCAGACTAAGCAAAAAGCAGACATGGCGCCTACATTTGAAGGTTCAGTTTATCCTGTCGCCCCACGGATTCACCTTTCCTGCATTATTCACCAACCTTTCCATTGTGTTTGATTGCCCCAGAAATAGCTGTAAGTACTCACCTGTCCAAGTCACTGAGCCAGTACCTGGGTGCTCAGGTCCAGATAGTGTCAGTCTAGTGCCGTGTGACTGCCAAGATACAGTATGTGCTTGACAGATTTTGGCACTTTCCACTGACTGGTTAATTGGATCTTCACACACTGGGCATTTGCAGGAGGAAGTGGAGGGCTGGCACACAGTCTCACAATAATCAAAAATGCCAGAGAGATTAGACTGAACACCTTGTCTCACCTACCCCTCTGATGGTATCAACCTCAGCTAGCCAGCCAGCCTTGTGAATGGTTTCACAGCGCTTTACTGGGCACTTCAAAACAGCTAGAAGTCATCCTCTCATTAAGATATATCAGCTGGGGCAAGATAAAGGTTTTATGCATCACTTGCAAAATAAATACATATATAAATAAAGCATAAAAGCTTTCACTTGAAAGATTGGATTAAAATATAACCATAAAAAGATATAATGATGATAACTGGACAAGCAAACACCTCTATTTTAGTATACTAGTATTACTATTTTCTTAGTCACTTAGAAACCTACATGTGTCTCAGGTCTCTTTTCCTGGGCTTGGCCAGCAGACAACAGGCTCTCGGCAAAATGGTTAAATCCAACCCCACACAGAGGAGGGCTACAAACATTTATAGCTAAAAGCACACAGCTTTAAGCTATTAGCAGCAGAATAGCACAGTCCAGTGCAGAGTTCTCTGGTTTGTCACTTTGTCAGAGAAAAACCTCCCCAGCAGTCCACAGTCCTGACAGATTTAACATACACTGTTTACACACTGTGCGGCCTAACCTGGTATTTTTTCAGTCATTCAAATAACTTAAAAGACAAAATAAGTAAATAAATACTTTTTTCAGATCTAAAGGATTTTGTTGTAATAAAATGTAAATTACTGCAAAAGGGACATGCTCTGCCCAGATGTTTGCTGTAAGAGCTGAACAGATGTGTATTGAATGTTTATCTCAACCAGGCGTATTGAGTGTGTTTACCTAAAGCTCAGTGATGCATAATAAGTGTTTCAGATTTGTGCAGTGGAATGGGCACTTTTGAAATCTACTTTTAGTTGTAGTGCTATGTTATGCGCTGTGAATTGTCTTTGACACAGTAAGAGCTGCTCTGCTTTCAGGTAGGAATAGGACTTTTTTGGGCTTCCAAAACAAATTTTTATTTTTTATGTTGGCCCTCTTGTTATGTCAAAAAAAAAAACTTAAATAGCTGCAGTGAAACACTTTAGAAACTAATTATTGTGATGATGATGTTTCACAGGTTGAAACTGATGGCTGGAGGGGCGGGAGCTAGCGAAGGAGTCGCAGCTAACCCCTGGTTGGTCAACGAACCAGAGGAGACCAGAGGGCTAAACTTTGGGGAAATCAAACAGCAGCAACAGCAAATCATTGAAGGTAATGACATGTAAGCGGAACACGGACAAACTTGATAAGCTTTTCAGATGCACTGCTTTTGTTTCTGAAAAGACAGTATGTACTTTCATGCAATTGAGTGAGCATGTTTTTAAATGTGCTGTTTTGTTTCTTGACCTTGTAAGTACCTCTCCACAAAAAAAAAACAGTGGCAGTCCCATCATAAACATTTATAGAATGTCTTAATCTGCACAGTATATGAACAATATGCACACCACCCTCTGTTTGGCTAGTGCACGAGAAGGCTAGTTGTGTTTGGGAGAACGTTCAGTTAATAGCTATCAGAGTATTGTAGACGGAATGCTAACATTTTAACTGGCATTGACCATGCTGATCTATGCTAATGTATAAAAGCTGATTATTAGAATTCACATCTATAGTAGTTGCCTCAATATTTCATCAGTACCGTGTGCCTTATTTGCTCCCTTGTTTGAACAGATAAATTACCATATTACTTCGTTTATTGTACACCCCTGCTAAATTTTAAATTTGGTTCTTGTCCATATAAGTCTATTGATAGCAAGGGCGTAATGATTAATTGATCTGACTCTATGCATCAGTTAAATAACCAATGATATGATGTCATTGGTGCAAAGGCAAACATCTATGTATATATAATTTTAAAATACACCTTCATTTGACAAAAATCACAAAAATTCTGCAGTAATGCAGGAAAGGGGTTTTCCCAGCTTTTCTAAATATAAGGTTTGACAATGTAATGGCTTCCTGTTGAATTGATGGGTCATCATGAGTTCTTTTTTGCACTTGAATAGAACTTTTTTATTGAGCACAGCTCAATAAACCTTTCAATTTATTTCCCTGAACTGAACACACTGACTTTATTTTTGCCTTGCCTTGTGAGGTATTTTCCTTGACTCTTATTCTGTGTCTTGTTTTCTGGCATTGCAAAATGTTGGCGCTCTCTTTCCTCTGTCTCCTGTCAAATGTATAATGTTTAAAATTTCTTTCCCCTCTCTTCTCAGCTCAGGATGCAGGCTTGGATGCACTGGCAGCTGTCATCAGTCGACAGAAGACAATGGGCCAGGAAATTGGCAATGAGCTGGATGAACACAATGGTAAAGTTTAATGTGCATGTGCGTCTGTACATATGCGTCAAAACAAATTCCAGACACATTACGCGCCGCATAGTGAAAGCCGTGAGACATACTTGTTCTGCAGTGGAACAATTTGCTTCATGTAACTTGCACACCACAACACTGACATAGTTAGTAGCTACACTTGCCTACCATTTATTAGATTGAGTGGCCTCACACCAGTGTCATGAACTACGTAATTATCCTTTGTCATATATCCCACAGGTCAAAGTAAGCTCTCTTTATGTGACCAAATACACTGAAAACACTATAAATTTGTGTTATGGAATCAGAGCTGCTCACAAGCTATTGGTGTTTCTGAGTTATTTCTGGTAAAATGCCTCTCCTCGGTCCACAAATAGCTTCCGTCACTATACAGAAAGCAGTATATCACTCCAGGCTATTTTCCTGCTCAGGCCACTGGTACTTGAGACACAAGACTTTGGGATGATAATCTGTCAACCGCTGAACATTACGATCCTTTAATGCTTCCTTTAATTGCTCTCTAAAGACTACAGCAGTTAAAAGGCCAAAGCCTAAGTGTTACCTTACAGAGAGGATGTACGCATGTATACATGCACTCAGATTCATCTGTTATTATTTGTTGTTGTTGTTTTTTAATTGTTAATTGCATTAGTCTGTCAACTTATCTTCTGACAGCCATGAAAAGAAAATACACTTCAGAAACTGTAGGTCGATGAAATAGGAAAGTGGGTAATTTAGATTTAATGGCTGTTATAACACCTAGCCTAGGGACAACAGTTGAAAATTATCCTTTTGGCTAATATTGGCATGTTTACAGTGATGTTGATTTATATGCATTGTCCCTGAAATAAAGTAAGTCCACATAAAGCAGTAATAAAGGAGTGATGGGGCTGAGTTCCATTGTGGATAGGTGACTGGTGGCTTTATCACATGTAGTTAAGTGTGAGGGGGTAGACTTGATATCTGTGGGCTTTACAGATTCTTAGACTTTATAAAATTACTTGTCAGAGTCTTCTAATTGACGAGGTAACCTCATCTAGATTTGTATTACAGACCAGTTATTGTCTGTTTCTGAAGTGATGACAAGCTTCCAGCTGGGAAACAAGGGTGCTGTACTGACCTGTAATATCCTGTCTGAGCATTTGTACCCAAACAAGTCCAGAAGTTGTATAACCGAGTGATCTCGACTTGGAAACAACCGACCTTCCCTTCTGCTGGGAAGGGACGGCAGATGTTTGGCTGATTCTGGTTGACACCAGTAGGAGAAGGGAAGGGAAAGAAAGGAAAGGAAAGCTGATTGTTTTTGCCCGCTCTCCTGTTACCATTTTGAACTAGATACGGATCATTGCTCTAATGCTCCGGCTGGTGTGTTTTTCTTCTCGTTTTTTCAGCTTGATGTCAGTGTTTCCAATAATATGAACCTGAACGGGTGATGGGAGAGTTCTAACTGAGAATAACACCAGTTCCATTGCAAGCAGGCAAATGATTTTGGGCCTGAAAACAATGGCCTGTCACTGCTTTTGTGTGTGTAGACATGACTTAACTATAGATTTGATGGGAACTCAACTTTGATTTCTGTAAGGGCCAAATTATTTATGCCACCTGTGTTGAAACCGAAACCGCCCAAATCTATAAAAGCACCCACACATTTCCACCAGGTTTTTTTTCCCCAAGTGTTTCTTGGTATGGTAAGGAATGAGATAACGTTTTAATAAGATTTAGCTATATACTGGCTGATGTTTCATACATAGGATAGCCACAGTGTGTGCAATGTAACTGACCCATCAGTGGTGGAAAGTAACTAGGTGCATTTGCTCAAGGGCTGTGCTCAGACAGTCAAACAGTGGCATTTTTTCCACTAGGCTTGAATGTATCTGACCCTCTAATGTTTGTAACCGGCAAGGATCAAAATATAGAAACACCTTTGAATATAATGTAATCCAGTACAACACATCTTGAAGACCCAGCTTCAGTCCGGCCCTCTTTGGTAGTTAGTCCAGTATGCAAGGAACATCGTTTCTGTGTTCTTACGTTTTATATTCCTGTTATTATAGAATTAACTCTGCATTAGTACAGAGTGCATTTGTCCCTTGTTTGGGTAATGTATATCTTTTTGAGACATTAAGGCTAAATGAACGAATGTTTGCCATAGACCAAAAAAAAAAAACAAAACAAAAAAAAACTGAAATGTTTTGTTCCTAAGCTTGTATAAAAATGACTTGGATTATTGCTTAAGATGGCCTTTGTATGTGCCATTTTAAAGTACTTGTATAAAATGTCGAAAAACAAAGAGGACAGTTTAATGGTTTTGTAACGGCAGGTAAAATGGGTTAAAGTACTAAAGCGGGGAAAAGGCCAGGCTCCTTGTTAATTGTGATGGTTGGCGCGTAACCTTGGCATCCAGCTGTTTTTCTGTCCTGGAGGGTTTCCACCTCTGATCACTGTACTGTAACAGTGTTTTCCTATAAATAGATTAAGCTCTTTGTAGTTTGCCTGTTCAAGTGTAGCTCATGACACAGATGCAGTGGAGGCTGCAGCCATTTCCTTTTCGGGAAGCGATTCCAGCTAAGGTCAGCAAAGAAGGTGACCCATTTCACAGGTTCAGGGCTGAACCCAAGGCCCTCAGTTACTCCCCTCTCAGTCTTATCTGGATTAGAATGAACTGAGATGTAGAAATGAGCTAGCAGACCAATTACCTTAATTTCAGTCACTTTTCTGGTGCACAGTGTTGTGTACAATGTTGCATACTGAATATTTTCCCATCTTAGTTGCCAGTCACCGCAAAAGGAGACATTTCATCATGATTGTTTTTATAGTACAAATAGTTAAATGATCCACTGGTCTCTGGTTTTTTACCTATTTCTTATACAATGTTGCCAAAGATGCATATATTTTCTTTTACTCATTAAATGTTCTAGAAATTCCAACTAAAATGGCTTGCGTCAGCAGTGGCCACCCCATGGCTAGTTCATTAAAAGGGGTGGCAGGAGTTTGTCTCATTTTTAAAAGTTTTAGGGGCTTCTTCTGAACTGGATTTGACTGGTGGTGAAATACTGCTTCTGACATACCTGTGCCATGTGCTGTAATGCTCCTGCTCTGCTATTTGCTGGTGTCGCTTGTTTATTTACAGTAGGTGTGACTGAAAACCATGTGATTCAGAAAGGCATAGAGAGACAGTAACTCTCAAAAATATTTTTCAAGTATATACAGCTTGATGAAGATCAGCCTAGATCAATCAAACAAATAGACCATGAGTTCTCTGCATGTTTGAAGTTCAGTAGTAGTTTTCAGCTTAACTAAATGTGCTCCACAGTGTTCACCATACATCAACTGTTCAAAGAAATCAATTCACTGCCATTTGTTCCATATGTTTGAGACCTTCTGGACCAAATTTTAGATTATTCCAAAAGATATTTTCTTTTAGGCACTGAAACAGGTCAGACTGAATGTACACCTTAAAAAAGTCAGGAATGTCTGAAAAGGAGTAAGTCATGATATGATGATCAGAGGAGTTATCAGTGCCTTTTTCAAACTCTACTATCTTCATCCTGATTTAGAGAATCGTGGTGTGTAAGTCATGCTTTCATTTTGTTATATTAATTCCTACTAGACAGTTTTCAAAGCCAGAGCCCACATTTGGCCGTATCCTAGGACCGAATCACTAAACAGGGGAATCTTGGAGAGTGAACCGTTTTATATTTATATTCTCTGAAGACAGAATGACAAAAGATAGCCAAATGAGGATGCTCCACTTCGCACCAGGGTGAACTCCTCTGCTACAGAGTACAATCAATCACAAGTCCTCGTGTCCTTATTTCTCTATCTATCCATCCAGGCATCCATCTCTGTCTAAGGCTCACTGGTGTCATGCTGATAGAGTTGTGGGGAAGACTGGGCTAACAGTGAGGCTCAGTCAGGAAATTAACATTTTGGGACAATAAAGAAAACCATCTGAAGACATTTCATCAATCAAGTCGCCTTTTATTTCCCTCAGCGAAATAAGGCCCCTCACTCAGAAAGAATAGGTTTGCACTTTAGTTTATTTCTTTTTTTGCTGTCTTATAATGGAAACTGTTGTGCATTTTAATAGTGTTTGTGATGCTCCTGGTTGGTTTTAAGTGTCTTAGTTTTGGAGTTTCAGATGGTGGTTCAAAAAGAATGCAGCTTTGGGAGTCTGTCAAAATGTGAGAATGTTTCCGTGTTTATATTTTTTTGACAGTGTCACGATGTATCTTCCTTCAATTTGTAGTCTATTTCATATATCCCAGGGAAAGCTTCTATGCCATGCTTGTCCAGAAAACAGTAGGAATTTACAAGAGTAATTTCTGGGTGTTTTTCTGTCCTGTTGTTTAAGGAATATTATAGAACTGTGCATTTAAAAACTACCCATTGTGTGGATGAAGTGATCCTGAGTTTGCATGTTTGCAGGAGCTGATGTTTCTTTGGGTGAATTAGCATGAAATGGCTCAGGACAAATCTCTCACAGTCAGTCTGTGTGACAACAGTGGTGTCAACACACTCCTCTAGCAATTTAAAATGTAGCTATTGTACTGATATATTTTTTCAGCAAATAAATTGGACACTGTTCTGTGTACATGTCAAAGGTAGAGGACAGTTTTGAACTGGATTTTAAAGGAGATGTGACCATTACTTTTTGGATATAAAAATGATGAATGTTTTCCAGGAGACACTGTCTGAAAATATATTTTGTCTTATATTTTGTTTTACTGCATTGCGCCCCTTATTTCAAACCAGCTTTGAATTTAGCCATGAGGAACAGCTATAAGATAACAAATCATACCAACTGCTTCTTATATTGTGAGCCTTAGGGGCTGATGTATCTTAGAAAATGACCAGAATATAGATATACTACTGCGCCTCATCCATTAGACTCGGCTGCAAAGCTGGTTGAAAAGGCCTGAGGTAAAAAATGCAAGTCAGCATGTGGCTACCCGTCTTTACTTCCAGCTTTGCATTTTTGGGTTTAAGGCCCATGA